TTTTCATTAGAAACCACTGTTTAAACTGATAGATCTCATTGTGAAGCGTCTCTAGCTGATAACTTGCATAAACACAAGAGATTTTACGTCTAAATATACATGATGAGTATTTAAAGCCTAATTATATGTCCTAATTTGCATGAAGTGCAAAAAAATAAAAAATAAATAAATGTGCTTTGTGGATGTTTTCTTTCCACAAACCAGATGTCGACGAACAACAGTCACCCCAAACACACTGTACACGACAAAGTGAAGACATTAGAACATAAGAGAATCCAGCTTTTCCTTTGAGAAGCCACAGCGGTAAGAAAAAAAAAACTCCCTTTAACAGGAAGAAGCCTCCCAGGCTCGGGGAGGGCGGTCATCTGCTGTGACTGTTGGGGGTGAGAGAACAGGATAGTAGATAGGAATCAGACAAACAGCACATAAAAGAACAATAAACACTGGAGAGGGTAGCGAGGTCAGTAACTGTAGGTCAGAACCGTGCAGCTCCGGCGCCACAAACGCCTGAACTACAGGAGAGAGAAGACCCAGAGTTAATGACATGGAGCTGTGACGTTTATGGAGACAATCATGGGAAGTCTCTCCCAGCAGCAGCATAATGAAGAGAAGGTTCAACATCACCTGAGCAACTTCATCAAAAAGTTTGAAGCTGGATCTTAGCAGCAGGGAGGGCGTCTGCCTCCTGAACCGGCAGCCTGAGAGCTCCATGCTCTGCCGTCTCACATTCTGCTTCTGGAAACTCCAGCAACCACAAATAGGCGCTGGGCTCTGAGAACAAAGTGCTCTGCTGGGACAATATGACACAATAAGGTCTTTAAGATGCAACAAAGCTGGGTCATTAAGGGCTTTACATGGGAGAGGTTCTGCTCTGAATTTTTAACAAGAGCCACTGAGGAGCAGCTAATATGGGAGGAATATGATCTGTCCTGCTGGTGTCTGTCAGAGCTCTGGATCAACTGGAAGGTTCACAGAGTTACTGGGACGTCCTGAGCAGAAGAATTCATAGGAGTCCACCCATATCACTCCCTCACGGTGTATGTTCTCTTACAATAGAGTTTAAATAGTTCTTAATGTCTGGGACACCTCAGCCGGTCGATCCAGTCAGTTATGGCACAAAGCAAAAGGTGGGTCATGTAATTAGTTTGAAAGTGCATCTGCATAATAACAACGGTACCAAATGTTGACATCACATCCTATGAACAGATTATTAGATTCATCCATAAATAAAGGCTCTGACGGCCTCCTGGTGACACACGGTGGACTCAACACAACACGAACACCAGAGTCACAAATATTACATAGATTTATTTCAAAGTTAGAGTTATCACATATACAATAGTTAAGAACACTTCCGTAGGTCTCCCAGCAGCGCGCTGTCCTCCTTCAAACTCAGAACAACAGCACTCTGCCACACAGCCGCGGCCTGCTGGACAACAGGGACTCTGATGATGGAGCTGACGTCAGACCGAGCACAAAAAGTGCCAAAATGAAACACTATACATGACATTAGTTAGGCAGTAGAACAGGGCACTGATTCCAACAGGGTTATGAACAGATGAGGATCAATAGCACAGCTATGTTTACATCACCAAGAACATTGCATCGATTTCTGCAACGAGGTTCTGTGAAACTACTCTTAAATATCAAACTTAATGTAATGCATAACGTGATGGATCTCCGTCGTTAGACACTGAACATCATGAAGGAATGAAGGATTGAAAACACATTTATAAAAGATGTATTATAAAACATGCATTTTCAAAGAAGGCTGAGGGATTTAGAGTTTAGTTCTTTTCTCCTGTGGTGAGAGCAGTAGTTACCGTCTGGTTCACGTTTAGAGGGAGGAAAACCAGATTAATGCAATAAGAACAGATGATTATTGCAGCCGACCAACACCTGACATCTCACCCTGAACCCAGTGTGGCTTGTAGAACTAGAAGCCTGGACATCTTTAGACTGATGGGACTGCATCTTTCATTTATTAGTCGAAGAGTGAACGCCGCTTTTGGAAAAGCCCTGTAAGCCCGTTCACTCAAGACGGTGCAAAATAGCGTTCTCTGTAATCTCTTGTGCTGCCTGCAGACTAAATACGAGTTCCCAGCTCTGATTGTGCTTCTGCCAGGAACCTTTGCTCTACAGATCCAAACTTCTTAACCACGTTCCCCTCAGACGCACCACACTCGATGAGATTTAAACCACAAATGACAGGAAAGAAACGATAGAAATTGAGGGTTTTGTCACAGTGTTTTTTTGTTTGTTTTTTTTTTTGTTTTTTTTGCTCCACCCAAAACTCAAAGGGGATCTTAACTGAGAACAACATGGCGGTCGAACACAGACTTCCTCTGCTCCTGAACCTGCCTCCTCCAGCGCTGCTGGGCGTGTTCCACTTTGTTCAGCATGTTGGGTCGAGAGTGCGAACGAGACAGAACGTTGTGAGCGTTGGCGAAAGGCTGCTGATCCTAAAAACACAGAAGATAATGAGCTGAGAATGTCTGACAAACATCAAACAGAGTCTGTCCTGTACGATGAAGTAGGAAGATGCACGTTCAGGATTTCAGTCAAACTCATGATGGACGGTTTAAATAAGGATGAAAACTAAAGCTGCAGAACTGAAGCCATCTTCTTTTTTAATTGCATTCTTTCTTTGTCCTTTTTAAAATCTGGTACCTACAAAACCTGTGAAAGCAGTTCGACCACTCAGTCAAGTCGGACGTGTAGCTACGACCTGGAGCAGAGAAACGACCTGCAGAGGTCTAGTGGGCTCACTTTGTCTTCAAGCTCCACACACACCATCCAACAGCTCTTTAAATAGAGTATTTATTTTATATATTATTGCTATTTTATTAGTTATATCACCTTTTAACTTTTTTTCTTAGACTATGAACCTATCAGCTGCTTCAGCGATGACGCCAAATGGAATTTCGTTGCACTTCCTATAAAACGACAATAAAACTTCTTCTTCTTCTTCGTCCCAATATTTTTTTTTAATTTCAGAACTTCTACAGGCCCAACCAACACAAGTGAAACCCCTGGAGGACGTTTACCAGCCCTCACACAACTCTATCTGGACCCACAAAAGCTTTTGCAGTTCTTTTTTCACATATGAAGTGGTTCTCCCTACCAAACACACTGATGTGTGCATATTTAGACCCTCAAATCTCATAGAACACTTTCAGACCTTCCTTTTCTGAATATTTTTTATTCTATGTCTGTGTGCATCCATAGTTTAAAAAATACAATTTGCTAAACCCATACTTTGTTAAACTGTGATTAATTTCTCATCCCTAAACTTTTTTTTTGTATTTGATTTCTTTCTATGAAATACTCTTTAACTGGTTTTAAAGTAATATAAGGATAAAGTTGTAAATGTATTATTGTCATGCCATGATAAAGAAATAGAAGAATAAAGTCTGGGGAGGATCTCTGTCACAGAGCGGAAAACTATTTTTTGTGTGTTTGTGGGTTTGAATTATCAGTCAGGCAGCATCTCTGTGTCAGAGATCGACTAAACATTACAAGCCAACCATTTCCTCTGTAATTAATTTGGCAGTGGTACTTCCAGTTTATTAGCTCTGCTTGTGAATTTCTTCCCTCTGCATTCGTCTGAGCTGAAGTCCAGGAGAAAGTTTCTGAGCTATTTTCAGCACAAGCTCTGGTAACAATTAAATAAAGTCACACTTCTGCTGCCATAATCTGCTTATTGACCAAAACAACATCACACAGACAAAAACCTTCAGACTTCTGCTTTGTCCCTTTTCCTTCACAGCACAAGACTTTTTTTTTTTTAAAGAGGATCCTCTCGTGTAACGCTTCCACTTTCTTGAACCCTGCCAGTCCAAACACATTGGGCTCAGCGAGGCAGCTGTAGTTCCCCCTCCAGCCTCAGGCGAAGGCAGAAACGGTTTCCTTTTGTTTTTATCTAAACACGGTGTCATGCCAGAGGAGACCAAACTGTTTGTTTTTCGTCTGCAATCTGAGATTTCTAACTGCGCTTTTGTTACATCAAATAATAAGGAGTGGAAAATAACAGCTTTTTCAGAGACAAGGTTGATGTGAGGAATTAGGCTGAGACGAGAAATCTGAGTGTTGTCATGCTCCAGTTCCAGGATTAGTGGAGAAACCCAGATTCCTTTAAGTTGGTCACTCATTAGTTTTCCTTCCTACGTGGTGGCACTTTAAGGCTGCACATCAATTCTGAGATAAACACTGATGTCACACATTTTGAATCGATGGCAAAGAGTAAGTCAGCTGACACAAAAGCAAGTACAGACGTTAAGTTTTACAGCCTAACAGTTTAACACGACCTTCTACAACATGTACATGTGCTGAGCTGCGTTACCTTCCCTGACCCACATCTCTGTCATGCCCACGTTAACACAAACAATCAGCAGAAATGTGGCGGCTTTGGCCGGGTTTCCTTTAAATCAACAAAGAAAACTTGTCTTTCAGAGTATTGCAGACGTGTTGTGTTGTGAGCAGAAAACTCTTGCACCTCATTGGCACCACACATAAAACACATTTCATATTTTCTTATAGTTTATTTCTATCTATCTGTAATTACGGCGGTGATAATTTTATGCTGTGACTACCGACCTTCCCCTCAGGGATTAATAAAGTGTCTCTGCTCTACTCTCTAAACTGGTTAAAGTGTGGTTGGAGTTTCCTTCCTGCCGTGTTGTGCTTGTGATTGTGGTTACTGATGCATTATTCAGTCGTTGCTTGAAGCACCTGTTCAGACTGATGGGATCAGCTGCTGTGAGAAAGTCACATTTTAATGTTTACTTCAATTAAAGGATGATGTATCTGCAGCGCAGCACAGATCCACATATTCAGCAGCCTTCCCACGCACGAGAGAGAAAATTATTGCAGGGGCCTCGTTAAAGTTTACCCACGAAGGGATGACTCCCACGTGACACCGTGTGCACCGGGAGGCTATTTACACGCTTAAAGATCCCTCCAGCGAGGACAGTGTTCAGCATTAAACAGCTTTCTGAGTGCAGTGAAAGTAAAAACGACACGTACCCCGACGTCGTCATCGCTTTGGATAAGCTGCGAGTGTCCAAACAGGCGCCTCTTCAACATGGGCTCCAGCAGCGTCAGGTAGACCATGTAGAGCAGCAGCAGGCCCAGAATGGACAGGTACATTATGATGGTGACCTAAAGACACACAGAGGATTATTATGTGTACGTCTAAAGGCACGTGTACGATGAACACGGGGATTTAAGTGACAAGTAGTCCTGAAACAAAGCTTCAGTTATTCATCAGCAGATTGACAGTCGAGTCATATCTGAGTCACATGTCAGCGCTGGTTGCTTTTCTATACGTTACAGTCATGGTACAGGTCATGTGTTTGGACTTTAAGCCGACAAATGTGATGATTTTCCCGGCATTCTACAGATCAAATGGTTTTAACAGAATAACCAACAACCTATTAGATACAGCCAGCTAAGTAAGAACAGCACACAGTTCAACTCACCTTAATGGTGCCTGAGCTCCTCTCCTCATATTTACACTCGCAGCGCAGACAGTACGCCTCCACGTCTTTCCCGTCCACCGGCATAGGTTCAACCACATGGAGGCAGTTGCTGACAAGAAAATAGCATTAACAGGCAGGAAATGGGCAGCTCATGTTCCTTCAGTGAAATGCAGCGACACGTTTCTGAACCTACCAGTCTTTGAGAGAAACATTCTGTTTGTAGATTTGTCCCTCGATGTCTCTGTAGGGCGGACAGATGCATTTACAGCGGATGTCTTCAGAATTCTGGAAGAGACATATTGGTTTGGTTTGGTTCCTCCTGCTCCGACTTATCCAGAAAAGGTGACCGTTTTAGGAAAGATATCTAATTGCAATTTCTGCCATTTAGGCCTCAATTAAATATTTGCTTCGTAACAGATTAAAATGTGGTGAGAAACCATCATCGTCACACAATAAGGACAATTTGTATTAACTATTAAGACGACACTTTAAACCCTGGATAGGCACAAAGTAGATGAGATTAAATAACACAACTGGGCTTATGCTAGGTCATGAACCAATGTGCCATGACTAATTAGAAAAGAATTACAGTGCAAGTCTTGATATTTAACAAGCAAACTTTTTATATTCTTAACAGGAGTCTTTGATTTGCTAATTGCATCGTTTCAAACTGTAATGTCCATTTTTTTCAGCCCGAGCCCACCTCACCGTTCTCGGGTAAATTAATCCAACTACATAGCATTTAGAAAGTGTTGACATTCATGCTGTTTAATTTAATTCCTCCTCTTTCCCCGTTTATCAGGTCCATTCTATGCCCATGCTGTTATCTGCATTTCATTGTTATACATACAGTGATCTGATTATTTTTCAGTCCTTGTGGACCTCATGTGTCCTACAGATAAAGCCACTGTTATTATAGATTTTGTTTAATGTTATTGTGTCAATAACACATACAGGTCAACCACACAGCAGTAGTTTTGTCCTCTTGGTGTTCTTTTTGTTGCACAACACCTGATGGATCATATCAGTGATTAGTCACACTGCTAGCACCCCTACACAACAGGGCTGATACGGCTGATGGGCATTTTGCTGCAGTCTGTACCCAAGAAAATCTGTTTTTACAAGTCAAGGAATCTCTGTAGAGCCTCAATCAATAATGATAAATATGGATGCTGTGGAATATTTGATGTTTATTATAATATTGCAGTTACTACAATCTGGATGCTGCACTTGGCTCATGTTTATCTCCACTACACATTCACCATTACACACAGTCTTCAGTTCACTGGGTCACTGTTTTGTATTCGTGGAAGTGACTTTTCATAATCCAGTAATCACAGCGGTGTCAACACCTGCGATGGACCTCAGGTCCAAGAATCTGGATGCTGACAACTGGTCCAGCTCATCTTCACATCAGAGATGCAGCAATGCTTAACTTTGACAACCTGAGTGTTAAAGTCAAAATTCAGACCGATTTAAGGAGAATAAATGTCAGTTTACTGAGCCACCATCACCATTTTCTCTCCTGGGATAGCTAGCCCGGCTAGCATTAGCCTTACCTTCGCTGTCACTTGGCTCAGCAGCACAAACCCAAACAAAGACAGAACCTCGACGACCAGCACAGACTTCATCTTCACAGTCCGTCTCGGGCCTCCAGTCTCCAAATAACAGCCTCTAAACTGTCTCCAGAAACAGCCCCGCAGCTCCCGGACAACCTAAGCGACGTTAGCCATCAAGCTAATTCCAGGATAAACAGCTTCCCAGCAGCTGACTTGTAGTTTCCGGAGATGGCGGTCGACTTCCGCATTCAGGATCAGGCTGGATGTGTTTGGTTAAGGTGTAAAGGGATCGTGGCGGGCGGTACTTATGGAATAACGGTACTTCAGGATCAAGTATTTATTTCTGTTTTGCTTCTTATGTGAAACAGATTTGCGAGATAAACTCCGATATTCGACATTTTATTCGGTTGCTTTTAATGTATCTTGAAATCCCAAACAAGTAAATCGCGCGGGAACGGATCCGGTGTTTAAATCGAACGCACCCTTTGGATGGTGACGATTGTAAACAGTGGGAGAACCAAGCTGTGACCCGCGGAACACCAGGAGGACGGTGGCAGGAATGAAATATATTTAGTTCTGAATTAGATTCTTTTGACTATATTTGATGTAGATAAATTAAAACAATCATAAGCAGAAAATTAAGCATAAATATCAAATAGATCCAGTTAGAAACAGTGTGGAAGCAAATCAGACTCATCAGATTTTGAATTTAGCTGTTGAATTTCTGACTTTGAATTTTGTTACTATCGAAATTATATGACTTTTTATTTATTTATTTATTTTTTTTTGGTCTGAGTTTAGCCAATCTAAATTTCAATAAGTCAAAATTTCAGGCATAAAAATTCAAAGCCATGAAAATTCGAAAGTCTTCAAATTGGACAGGTTAAATTCAGAGTTCAAAATTCGCCATAAAAAATATATAGATATAGATAGATAGATAGATAGATAGATAGATAGATAGATAGATAGATAGAAATAAGCAGAATAAATCAAAGTGTCAGTTCTTCCCACATCATGGTATAACAGGAGTTATTGTGCAATGATGGTAATAAATGCCACTTTTGACCTCTGACCCTCAGTCGTGGCCATGAGGAGCAGCAGCAGACCAACACCACTGTGATTACAAGTTGCTTCAGAGACGTACAGCCTCCAAGATGTAGAACTGCTTCTTTTTATTTCAGTAGGCTTTCCCAAAGGAATTTCTGTGAACCTGGAGGAGCCCCAGGAAGGACTATCACAATAAGAAACAGTACGTTGTCATCGTTAGTTTCTTAATGAGACCGTAGAGCAGCTAGATACTCAGTCAACACATTTTTCAACCATTCTACTGTAATGGTAAATGGACTGTACTTATATAGCGCTTTTCTATCTTAACAGTTTTCTCATTCACCCATTCATACACACATTCATACACCAATGGACACAGAGCTGCCATGCAAGGTGCTGCCTGCCATTGGGAGCAACTTCAGGTTCAATGTCTTACCCAAGGACACTTAGACTGTGGATCGAACCGCTAACCTTTCGATCAGAGGACAACCTGTTCTACCACCTGAGCCACAGCCGCCCTGTGTCTGCTTCCCTCTAGTGGCTTCAAAGTGGAACATTATTCCTCAGTGTTGACAAATGATCTTTAAAGAGTGACAAAACTACAGTCTCACATCCTCAACAGACAACGTGTGTTATTTATTTTGCATGTGAATAATGACAGGTATCAGCTGTTGTTTTTGTCAGATCTCCTCTCTGACCAACATGTGTGTTGTCAGCCTGTAAAAGTTGGATTTGTTTACCAAAGTCAACACATTTCTGACATGTCAAGTCTTTTGATTTGGGAGATTTTTGCCATTTCACAGCAGGACACTTGCAGCAGTGACATTTAAAAAAAAATTGCTTTCCTTTTGCATTTTCTGAGTGTCATGAGGTTCTTTTTCATTTTGCATTGATTACATACCATTTAAGCCATTTTTGTTCATAGAAAAACAATCTGTGAAGCAGCTGCCAGTACAGTGAGATAAATTATACGTCTGCTGGGACTCAGTTCAGTCCTAATATTTGTCATTGTTAGATTTTTTTTTTGTTTTAATTATTACAAAAAGAAACAACCATAGTTAATTTACCATGAAGTGACCATCTTGTCTTTCATCTCAAACCACAAGAAAAGTCTTAATGGAGTTTAATTTCTCTCTGCTTATATGCCAGTTTAGCTACATATAGGTTTGATTTAATAAGTTGAGAGAACTCTTAGTGGGTTTTTTCATTCAACTCAGAATTTTAAGTTAGAAAAAGTCAGACATTTTAACTTTAAATAACTAGAAAATAGCAAAACTCATATATTTATATTAAGTAAACTAGGAATGATAAATTGATTTGACCAAATTCCTTTATTATGTTTTAAGGTTTGTCATCTGAATAAGAGAATGGAGCATTGTCATTACTTGTGGATACTGTCTTGCTGGGAATTATATATTTAAACTTTAATTCAAAGCCTTGGATGAGTTAAGGCGTAAACGCAAATCAAATGAAACCTCAACAATTATACAACAACAAAAAAAGGCCAAATGAAAGTGAGCAAAAGGAAGAAAAACACGAAATAGGTTTCCTATCTTTATTTACAGCATATTAGATGTACAAAATCATAAAAAATATACATACATGTATCATCTAAAACAGGCGAACAGCTCAGTTGTATTTTACAGGACGTACTGTTTATGTTCTCTGGTATCACATGTTTCTCTGAGTGTCTGCAGAGCGATTAGTTGTCTTTGGTTGCTAGTCAACAATAGAAAATGTACCGATGCATCCTGGCGTCATTCTACCAGCTGATGTCTTGTGAGTGTATAAAAGCCACAGTAAATTTTTGGAATGTGAAAAGGTTTTGTTTTAAGAACAGCAGCACTTATCCAGACACCTCCAAACACCAAATCCAGCCACCAGCAAATGCAGCAATCCTCTACTGTCAGAGCGTATGTAGTCGCTACAACACATCAGGGTTTCACCTAAAACTTTTTACATCATATACAAAACATTCATCAGAATAATTGCTCTTGTGGCGGGACTACTTCTTTAGTAGTGCTAATGTTCCCAGGAAAACATTTGTGCTATATTTGTTTCTGACATTAAGCAGTATTTCTGTCAATAATTCATCTCTATCTGTGAAAGTAGCCTATGTTAAAACTAGATACACACTCTATATACAGCGTCACTGACACTCAGTATATACCTGTTACCTGCTACCGCGTTGATTTTTCATCACAATGCTATGAGCAGAAGTCCCATGTACAGTTTGTCGCAATATTCAAATACACAGATGTGCACTTTGGATTTAAATCCTGACTTTAAATTCTAAAGGAGTCATTACAATTCTTCTGTTGCTTAAAAAAAAAAAAAAATCCAAACAAAGGGATGAAATGCTGATTCCTCTCTGAAGATGCCCGTGCAGGTCTGCACCACTTCACTTCTCCCTCTTAAAGCTCCACTTAAAGGTCCACTTGCTTGAATTGTCCCGTCAGGATGAGTTTTGTCGAGTGTGCGGTCCACTCTAGCGTGGCTCTGTGTGAAAACAGGTAACTACAGAATACTCTTAAAGGGGCCAGTGGATGGAACAGATACTGTGGCCAGTATCTAATCTAAGTTTATCATGAAAAATCCAGAAACCCGGCGGTTTCTAAGGGCGAAGGAATCTCAGGACTTTGGAGCGCAGGAAGCGGATGAAGGATTTGGGGAACATTTCTCTTGACTCTTGTGCCGTGTAGTTGAAGAAGTTCTGTGGGTGAGCCAGCACGTCAAACAGCGCCTTCATGAGCTTCTTGTCCTGGTGAGGAGACAATGGAAGGTGAAGGCATGTATTACATAAGAGACAAACGCAGTGAGTGTGAACAGCAGCTTGTGATTTCTACAGGCTTCCAGAAGAGGGCGCTGCAAGCTCAATGGATCCAATGTAGGATTCCCACAAACACAAAGTAGTGAAGAGACCTATCTAGCTCAAATAAAAAATAGAATTTTTATATTTTGTAACAGAATAAAGCACAAATGCTCCTTGTTAAAGCTTGAACAGCTGTAAAATACTGATACCTTGAGAATTTCCTGGTGATTCTCTGAAGCGTATAATCTTCCATCTCTGACTATGTCCTCTATCAACTCTTGGTAGTCCTCTGAAACAAATAAAGTCCACAACCGGCTCCTTAGTGAGACAAATCGAACCAGCATTTGTGTGACAAACAGAGACAGCGACGTCACATTCACAGGACAAAACATTGTCGTTCTTTTTACCGTCATAAGTCACGTATGGAACCTGGAAGCCTTTCCCGCTGTTCCCCTCGTTGGACCTGAACTGTATCCACAGCCTCTTGGAGCGGGAGGTGAACGCGATGGGACGCTCGTACGTCTGACACGTCTCGTAGGTTGTCACGGAGTTGGAGAGAGCTGTGAAGGAATTAAATACTGTATGAACACACGGGATGGCATTCATGATATGAGATAAAAACACTTTTTGGTGCCTCTGCTTGATAACAATACATTTTAATGCCATTTTGGCCGCTCTTATTACTTTTTATTGGGTTTCTATGTTTATATTTGTAGAGTCCATGATTAACAGTCTGTGGATTCTTCTTCTAGGCTGAGTTTAGTAATTTTTACGACTGTATGGCCTCAGTTATATGATTCATTACCAGGTTTTTCTCCATAATTAACATCAATGTAGGGTCTCAACCTTAATATGTATCATAGAAAGTTTTCCATGTAACTTTTGGAAGGTTTAATCTCTAAAATGTAAGTTACTCTGGAAAAATCACACCATAAGAGACTGCTTTCTTAAATGTGCTTCATAAAAAAACAAGAATAGCTTGACTTAACTATTGTTTTATCTTGTTATAGTGCATGATAAAGATCTTATTTATTTATTTATTTATTTTTTTTTTTACCAGTCTTTGTCTAGTTTAATATTTGTTTTATTGTAAGCACTTATCTAATATTTTTACATGACATTATTTCTTCTTTGCATACATATTATCAACCATTTCCCTGAAGTTTGCACCAAAGGGATCAATAAAGTTCTATTCTATTCTATTCTATTCTATTCTATTCTATTTTACACTCAACCACTTGCTTTCATCACTTCTGAGGTTTATACTCCTAAACAAAAAGGATAAATTACCATAATCTTAACGACTAAACCAACAAACCTGACCAAGTCATTCTAACATGATGAGCAACATAACGGTG